AAGCTGCTGTCATAGCGCAAGAATATTGCTGCAGTCAAGTTTGAAGTGCTACAAACAACAACAGCCATTTTACCATTAGAAAAAAAAAATCAGAGAACCCCACTGTCATACGAGATGATGTCAAGTTAAGTTATGGTATATATTCCCTTTCAATGCGTAGATACATACAAACATACATACTATATGTCACAGCATGTGAAAATTTGTTGGTATTTTTTTATTGTTGTGTGGTTTTCTCTCTGGGTGTTTGCCTTGTTAAGTGCCTATTTGTAAGGATACTTAAATGTTTTTTTTTTTTTTTTTCGCTTCTTAACTGTTTTACTGTGGATATAGGTAAGAACGCAGGAGTTTTATTATCCACCATAGGATATACGTATGTATATGTTGACAATATATATCCCAACTTATATGGTAACTGCTATTCTGCCAAATGATGTTCGCTGTTGTTTGTAATTGCAGCCGGTGGCATTATGACAGCAGGACAGTGAAAGCTTCCCGCAACGTATTCTACATGTTGTGCTGCCACAAGTGTTTCACTTGTTTTTGATTTGTTTAAATGTTATGTAAAATTTTGTCATAAGCCTCCTACGGTAAATAGCATTTAAACACCATGTAGATTGTTTTTGTGGAAATGAGTCGGAGTTTTGAGTGTATAATGAGTTTGCTGGCTTTTAAGTCCTTAAATAATTTTTAAATCCATGTTTGTGGGTGTAGTGGCCCTTGAAAATATTTTTTTTTTTAAAATCCACGTTTTTTTCTTTTGATAGGTCCTTCAAAAAATATTGAACAAATTCAATTTGATGGCCTTCAGCCTACATATGTCTTGACCTTTTAATTTATTTCTGAGTTGGCCGAGACCAAAAAATTAACGAATTTTTTCGACGGAAATGTTATGGTTTATTTTACCCGCTAGAGCGAACAAATCAGGTGAAATGCATCCTTCAGCACATCGATTGTGGCATGTGCAGTGTGTGTCCTGTTGGAGCCACATTTTTTCCATTCCCAACTTATTAAGTTGCGGCAAAAAGAAGTCGTTGATCATTGCTTTGTAGCGTGGGTTACACGTGAATTTCAGTGCCCCACATGCGTAAAGTTAGCTTGTTTACGTACCCGCTAATGGCAAATGGGCCTCATTACTCATAATTCTTTTTGATGAAAAATCATCTTCTTTTTGGTGGTGATTAAGGATGGCTTGAGCGTATGTCAGACGCTATTTGCGGTCAGCAGCTAACAACTGACGCAGCATCTGCCCATTGTACGGAAACATATTCAAACCTTGTACAAAAATTCGGTGAAAAGACCGTCGACTGATATTCATTCGAGTGGCATGTCGTCTAATCGATGTCGACGGCGCTTCCATGACATCCTCGGCTACAGCAGCAATATTCTCTGCAGAACGGGGTCTGCCACGCCTGTTAGCATCTTTTGTTGTGCCAGTCTCTTCGAGAACGAGCGGCTAAACACCGCAGTGTTCCATCATTAGGCGTTGGACGGACAGAAATTCACGTTGTGCCAAAGTCACCGACCGATTATTGGTGAAAGAAATAGCTACCAATATTCCACGTTCTGGAGCAGTGTAGCGTAACATTGTTTATTAATGTGTATTTCGCATGTGTTTACTTCAAAAATGTCAAACCAAAACTGACGTAAATCGTAAAATGTACAGCATTTTCTGGATTACTTTTGGTGGCGCAAATATGTATATCAAATTAGGTGAGAATCGGTTCACCAAATGGTGAAGGCTATAAAAAAATTCCGCCGAGCTAGAATTTACCTGCTATATATATACATTTATTATTTAAAAACAATTAAGCAAAAGCTGTAGTCATGCGGGCCGATAATTCAATACCCTACAACTCTACAATATTTTAGAAGCCTCCGTCCGAATCCATTTTGGAATAGTTCGCTTTTGAAATTATGTCATGGAGCACTTCCCAAGTGCTGCTTAGCATCTTGACCAGGGCCCAATATTTAGGCACTCCGTCATGCTGTAAGTTATTGTCGTCCATTTTACAGCTAAATATAATCCAATGATCATTCAAAATGCTAGACTCCTTCCCTGTCCTTAACTCTCTTCTCTTGCAAAATTTCGTGTTGATTGGTTTCAATTGTGTGATCAGGACTTTTTTTGGTTGGTGGTCCCTCTGTGTCTCCAAATTTAAACATGATTTGCTTGTCTACGATATTTGGTTATATTCGTCAACGATGTCTGCATAAAAAAGCCAGAAGTTCGCCTTTGGTGTATTTTGAATTTCGCCTGTAATTTTTTTCAGCGTTTCGGTAGAATGGAAATGCTGGTATTTTTCCTCACAAAAGTAGTGGTCCATTTTACCCGCTGTCCTAAACTAAAACTTCTTGGGTCCTATTTGTGACCTTTAAATCAGGAACATAGTTGTTGGTCCATTTCAACCCCTAGCTCTTCTGATCCTAACCTTAGCTTTATGAAAATTTTCGTTAGGATCGGACGATGAGTGCAATGTGTATATAATATCCACAACCTGTGTTGGAAAGTGAAGAAATATTACAAAATATACACTTCAATATTATAAGTCAAATTGAAAAAATTGCATGCGAAAAAAAAAATAAAAAATGTCACAGAATACTACAAAATCTATATTAACATCATTATTGGCATCTTTTTATCCGATTTGTTTAGATTTTATACTTTTATTTTAGGAGGGCATTCCGAATTGACAAAATTTGTCCAAATCGGAGCAGCTATTCTTGAGATATAAGCATTCTCGCTAACATCCCCTTCCTTTGTATATACACATTGTATATATTTCGCTATATCTATATCCGATATATTTACTATCGGCATCTACATAACGATCAGAATCGACCTGTTCGTCTATTTGTGATTTCGAGGTTTAATGGAAAATTTGATTTATATTCAATAAAATGTTATGGTCTATTTCACCCACTAAATATTCCAGATGACCATCCAAATTGGAAGGCTTCTGCTCATCCCTAATCTCTAGCCACATGCTAACTATAACGGCGATTGGGAAATTTTTGGTTTTTGACCAATTTCAACCTATAATTGCGACTTGTAGAGTGACTACAAATCATCATGGACAGACGGACAGAGAGACATACATAGCTAGATCGACTCAGCTCGACGAGATAGAAAGATCCATAAATACTTTCCTATGTGGGAAACCAATATTTCGAGTTGTTATATAATTTTGGCCCAATCAAACCAAGAAAAAATTGTTTTTATACCCTACAACACTATGTGTTGGGGGTATTATAAGTTTGATTGGGTCAGAATTTATGTAACACCTCGAAATATTGGTTTCCCATATAGGAAAGTATATATGGATCTTCCTAGCTCGCCGAGCTGAGTCGATCTATCTATGTATGTCCGTCCGTCCGTCTGTCCGTCTGTCCATGTTAATTTGTAATCACGCTACAGGTCGCAATTATGGCCCGATCCTTACGAAATTTTGCACGAAGGTGGGGTTAGGGTCAGAATAGAAGCCTATTTCTTTTTGAGATGATCGCCAAATGTTAAGGGGTTGAAATGGACCAAATACTGAAAAAATGTCGGAATTTGCAGTAGCTATACAGGTCACAATTATAGACCAATCGACGCGGAATTTCGCATGTAGCTAGAGTTTAGTGCGGGGAAGAAGCCTACCAATTTGGGTGGTCATCGGATAATATTTAGCGGGTAAAATAGACCATATCTTTTGTGTTGAAAAAATTCAAAATTTTTCATTAAACCGCGAATATTTTAAAACCCGGCGAAATCACAAGGCCATGACAAGGTTACTTCTGATCTTTACATTGATGTTAACATCCAACAAAACGGATATATAGCAAAATATGTGCGATATATATGTTTATCAAAGAAGATATGCTTGAAAAATCTCTTATTTGTCGAGAACGGCTGAACTGATTTCGACAGTTCCCATTAATTTAGAATGGCCTCTTGGCAGGAAAGAAAAAACGTCTAAAAATCGCATAAAATTATCTCTCTAAAGATGAAAATATTGATTTTCTAACATTTTCTCATATTTTTTCAATTTTGTCATATTTTTGGCATATTTTCATTTTGAATTAAACATTTGGTAATATTTCTACAGCTAACAAAACTAAGTAGTTAGGATTTCAGGATATCATATACAGATCGCATTTATGGCCCGATCCATACGAAATTTTGCATGGGGATAAGATGAGGGTCAGAATAGAAGCCTACTCTTTTTGGAGATGATCGCCGTATATTTAGGGGTTGAAATGGACCAAAAAACTGCAAAATTGTCAGCCCGTTCCTCACGCACATTTGAATGGGGGTTACCGGACATTGCAAAAGCCAAGCAGTTTTGGATGGCCATCCAAAAATATACAATGTGTGAATAGCTTGCCAACTTTTGTAGACAAAATACGAAAATGTCCATTCCAGTGACATTTTGGAGAATTCACAAATACAGGAAAGACGCACTTCTGACTATTTCGTTAACGCTGATTTCGTTGAAGAATATAGTCAAATATCTGTATCTCATATAGATGCGTTTCAGTCAAAAACCAATAATAAATGTTAATTTTTTGCCACTTCTGAGAGATTATAGGTCTTTGGGAAATATTGGTTCCAGATCTAGGAAGACCATTTAAGTGCAACATCTACCAATAAATTGGAAATGAGCAAATTCGTTTAAGTTGTTATTATTCGAAAATTAGAGAACGAAACATGATGGTTTTCTTTTATTTTTGTCACAATATCTTGTGGAATTTTTTCGAGCATCTCGCCTATGTAAACTGTATCGTTTATTATAGTGTTGTAGGGTATTCAACGGTCGGCCCCGCTCGACTGTAGCCTTTGCTTACTTGTTATAAGGTAGCTTTGTTCTACCTTCTGTAATTGTGCCATGATTTCACGTAAAGAACAAAAAAACATATTTTTTTTAAGCTTTTGCATTTCTTAAACATTACTTTCAGGGTGGAAACAATTTCCATTATGAGATTATACTAACAAATATTTTCCTTTGATTTTACAGATGAGCTCGTAGTAGTATAGCCAATAAAACGGGTAAGTTTAACCATAATTTAAATATTATTTTCAATTGCAATATTTATGGAACATATAGCAAAAATCCCCTTTAAAACACCTTATTGACTTCTTTGTCCATTCAGATCATATAATGCTCTGATCCAGAAACTCAAAGAATCTACTAGTTTTACAGTTTTCTTCAATATCATAAAGTCGGTTTGTTAGTAACATTTTTCCATTCTTGAAGATTTTGAAACAGAATATAAATTGAACTTAACTTAAGCTGAAAAATAAATCATTGAATTAAAAAAAATATCTAATTTATATTACGTTATAAAAAGCACATGAAAATTTATATATCATTTTGATGCATTTTTTATCGAAAAATATAACGATATTTTAACGATAAATATTATCAAAATTTATTAAAACAACTTGTTTGTGAGAAAACCAAATTTTCTAAAGGTTCCATTTGCCACATTTACGTTCGAACATTAAATTTATAATTGAAAGTCATTCCGGAAAGACAACATTGAGTGTGTGTCGTAAAAGTAGCGTTTTATGTATATTTTTTCTTTTATTTATTAATTTCGTGTTCGATGGCGGAGCGCGGGCAGAGGGAGTTTCACATGTTGACATGACAAGTACGTGATATTAGCAGTAAAACGTATGACATGTTATGCTCACTCCTTGTTTGGCCCTTTCCTTTTAAGAGGAAATAAAATCAATGCAAGGGAACACATATATTTTTCATTCTTTTTCGTTCGAATGGAACATAAGAAAGCAAATTGCATCGCCGTAAGATGACAATATTTTCTGAGACAAAAAAAAAAATAAAATAAAATTATATAAACAAAAAATATGATTTAGCAGTAATTTTTTGTCGTTGTCTCAGTTAGATTTCTGCGAAGACATTATTTTTGCTGCTTTAATTGAATTTTTCTAAGACATAACACAGTAAAGAAAAATACAATAGATCATCACGTATAAATCTGAAATTTTCTTCTAAAATGTATAGCATTTATAACAAAAAATAAGCTTCATTATATAAATACATGGTGAGATAAAAAAACATAATTTTTACAATTTGTTTTTAATTTTATTGAATGAAAGCAAAAAATATCGGAAATAGCATTAAACTTTAGATTTGTTCGAATTGACCACTCTTGGCACAAATTATGGCCTTCAAACGGCCAATGACTGCCCGAATGTTGCTCTGCGGCTTTTTGGCTCATTCCCGCCGAAGCGCTTGCTTGAGGTGATCGACTCTTTTATATTTATACCTTACAACACTATGTGTTGGGTGTATTATAAGTTTGATTGGGCCAAAAATTATGTAACACCTCGAAATATTGGTTTCCCACATACGAAAGTATATATGGATCTTCTTCCTAGCTCGCCGAGCTGAGTCGATCTAGCTATGTATGTCCGTCCGTCCGTCTGTCCATGTTAATTTGTAATCACTCTACAGGTCGCAATTATGGCCCGATCTTCACGAAATTTAGAATGTAGATGGGGTTGAGGTCAGAATAGAACCCTATTTCTTTTGGAGATGATCGCCAAATGTTTAGGGGTTGAAATGGACCAAATACTGAAAAAATGTCGGATTTTGCAGTAGCTATACAGGTCGCAATTATAGACCAATCGACGCGGAATTTCGCATGTAGCTAGAGTTTAGGGCGGGGAAGAAGCCTACCAATTTGGGTGGTCATCGGATAATATTTAGCGGGTAAAATAGACCATATCTTTTGTGTTGAAAAAAATCAAAATTTTTCACTAAACCGCGAATATTTTAAATCCCGGCGAAATCACAAAGCCATGACAAGGTTACTTCTGATCTTTACATTGATGTTAACATCCAACAAAACGGATATATAGCAAAATATGTGCGATATATATGTTTATCAAAGAAGATATGCTTGAAAAATCTCTTATATGTCGAGAACGGCTGAACTGATTTCGACAGTTCTCATTAATTCAGAATGGCCTCTTGGCAGGAAACATAAAACGTCTAAAAAAATCGCATAAAACTATCTCTCTAAAGATGAAAATATTGATTTTGTAAAATTTTGTCATATTTTTTCCATTTTGTCATATTTTTGGCATATTTTCATTTTGAATTAAATATTTGGTAATATTTCTACAGCTAACAAAACTAAGTAGTTAGGATATCAGGATATCATATACAGATCGCATTTATGTCCCGATCCTTACGAAATTTTGCATGGAGATAAGATGAGGGTCAGAATAAAAGCCTATTCTTTTTGGAGATGTTCGCCATATATTTAGGGGTTGAAATGGACCAAAAAACTGCAAAATTGTCAGCAGGTCGTAATTATGGGGGTTACCGGACATTGCAAAAGCCAAGCAGTTTTGGATGGCCATCCAAAAATATTCAATGTGTGAAATAGTTTGCCAACTTTTATAGACAAAATACGAAAATGTCCATTCCAGTGACTTTTTGGAGAATTCACAAATACAGGAAAGACGCACTTCTGACCATTTCGTTAACGATGATTTCGTTGAAGAATATAGTCAAATGTCTGTATCTCATATAAATGCGATTCAGTCAAAAACCAATAATGCGATTCAGTCAAAAACCAATAATCTTTTGCCACTTCTGAGAGATTATAGGTCTTTGGGAAATATTGGTTCCATATCTAGGAAGACCATTTAAGTGCAACATCTACCAATAAATTGGAAATGAGCAAATTAGTTTAAGTTGCTATTATCCGAAAATTAGAGAACGAAACCTGATGATTTTCTTTTATTATTTGTCACAATATCTTGTGGAATTCTTGCGAGTATCTCGCCTATATAAACTGTATCGTTTATTATAGTGTTGTAGGGTATTCAACGGTCGGGCCCACTCGACTGTAGCCTTTGCTTACTTGTTTATGCTGATTTCGTTGACGAATATAGCCAAATATCGTAGACAAGCAAATCATATAGATGAGTATAAATTTGAAGATACAGAGGCGCTTCTTGCTTCTGGAGATGATTGCAAAATATTTAGGGGTTCAAATTAACCAAAAACAGAAATGTTTTTCTGATCACACAATTGAAGCCAATCGACACGCCTACGAAGAGAGTTAAGGACAGGGAAGAATTCTATCATTTTGGATGACCATTGGATTATATTTAGCTTAAAATGGACTACAACAACTAACAGCCCGACGGAGTGCATAAATGTTGGGCAAATGTCCCTAGTTAAAATCCTAATCCGAAATCTTCCAATATGGATTTGGACATAAGGGGGCTTCTAACATATCGTAGTGTTGTAGGGTATCACATGGTCGGTCCCGAACGACTATAGCCTTTGCTTACTGCGCGACTGTTGCTAGCGGTATTTTGACCCGGCGAAGCGCTTGCTTGAAGTGATCAACACTTTAGTATTTTTAGTGCCAACCTTGCTTTCCAAAATACTCCAAACACAATAGTCCAACGGATTGGTATCCGGAGATTTCTGTGGCCATTGTGCGCTGGAAATGTAGCGAGGAACCTCGTTTTGTAACCATTCTTGGGTGGCGCGTGCTGAGTCGTGTTAGAATATCCAAAGTCTGCGGCCAAAATGTTTTCGTGTTCAAGGCTTTAATACACCCTCCAGAATATTTTCGCGATAATATTCGGTATTTATTCTGATGCAAAGGTCGATTAATACGAGCATAGAGCGACCATCGGCTGTTATGGTGGCCCACACCATCACCATGGCCGGCGCTTGAATTCTGGTGGCCAACCGAAGGTGCTGACCTCTTTGGCAAATAAACACGATATTTTGTTTGTTTAGAAACTGCTGGACAACGAATGTTTTCTCATCGGAGAGAACCAAATTCGGCAGTTTACCAATTTCGGCCAAGCGAAGCAACTCTTTAGTTCCTTTGAGTCTATTTTCTTTCTTTTGCCGAATGGAATATTGCGATATGTTCAGTTCACGAGCCATTTTTCGGCCACTGCGACGCGGGTTTCGATCAAACGGCTTCTTTACTTTTCGAACCATTTCTGCTGATGTTGCTGTTTTCTTCCGACGTCGGGCTACGCTACCAGTATCACGGTAACGAGCGATGGTACGAGACAAAAAAGATTTATTCGCATTTAAATGCTGGAGTGCTCTAACGATAGCCACTTGTGGTTTTCCAACCAAATATAAAAAAAATCACATATCACGCTTGAATTCCATCACGAATAACTTTTTTCCGGAAAATTCTCACCAAAATGCTTTTTGTACGCCTGTAAACAATATAATGACCTGTCACTGGAATTATTTTAACAGCTGTGGGACGAGTGCCTTTGAAATGACAGCAGTCTGAAGTTGTTTGCAGTTTTTTTTTTTTTTTTTGATCTCACCGTGTTTTTGTTTCATCCGATTTTGTATTTAAGTCTCTCAAATTCGTAATTTGTGTTCAACAACAATGATATTTGGTACCAGACATCTTATAAAGTTCGGAAATATCTTTGTCGGCTAAGATTTGAATATATCTCCTATATATATATCCTTAGTCCGCTTTCAGGTTTATTGTGCAAATAATGACTAATATGAGCGCAAATTAAGTGAATTTCGGGACGTACGTTTTCATTTTGTGCAACTCGGCCCTGATATATATTTTTTAATAAAATCCTTCTCCAAGTGATATCATGAAGTCTATAGCAAATTATAACTTCTCTAAAGCCAAGTGCTGATAGGTGGTATGATCTACTTGAAATAAGTTTTTTCGTTACGGGAGCTCTACTAAATATGCACAGTGGTGTAGGGTAATATATAGTCGGCCCCGCCCAACTTTGACTTTTCCTTACTGGTTTTTGGGCAATATTTGTGATGTCAATAAATTTGATTTTGGCCAACAATATTAAACCCCGAAATCGCTATTCATCGTTTGTTCCATGTTTGAAATCTATAAAGAAACGTTAATATCAGGAAAACATATGTCTTCGGTCCATTTCATCCCTGGCTAGACATTGATGAGCATGCAAGAGTTCCTGGCAATCAGTCATTAATCGAGGTCTGGAGAAAGATTACAATTTTAAAAGTAAAACCAAAAATT